GCGCACACACAGAACGGCAGACCTGTGCGCTGTGAATAGCTGGAAGCTGCCAGGTCAGTGAGAGCAGCTGTGTTTGCTACCAAGCATCTGCTGGCTCAGACGGCGCTTGTTTTACGTCGCTGCTCTGCAGGTCAAACTGCAGCCGGCCGCATCTCTGCACGGAGACAAATCCCGGGGAGAGTGCTTGTGTATCCGTGCGTGCACGTGTGTGCGCCAACATGCCCCTGTGCTCCTAGCCTTTTCCTAAGTGGGGCTGAGTCTGGTGGGCCAACCCGTGGCTGCGGCAAGATTAATCCTTTCCACACTCCATCAGTCACTAGGCACAGGTTATTAGTGCTGGGACAAAGTGCACACACACACACACACACACACACACACACACATACAAACACACATTGTACACACAACCCCTTTCACCCCTCTGACTTCACTTTCCACCTTGTCCCCAAAGTTTGCAAAGGTGGCCTTGATGCTGAGAGGCCATTTGTCAAAAGCTTCCATTTGGCTCCTTTTAATAAGGCGACCTGGGCTCTGGGAATACACCCACACACACACAAACACACACACACACACACACACACACACACACACACACACATCAGACGGCTCTGCACATACTCATACAAGTGAGTGTCAGCTCGTGCACCCCAGGAGACTTATAAAAGTCCCATTAACATGGTCCTCCTCATTGGTTCTGACAGGTTGATCAATTAGACCCCACCCTTCTCTGACCTTAGGGCCTCACCAACTCAAGAGGGCCGACACGATGGATCACTGGTCCTACACGCACACACACACACACACACACACACACACACACACACACACACACACACACACACACACACGTGTGCACAGTCGCACTAGTCGCAGCTCCCTTGTTATCTGGTCACAGTGCAGCTTTTTTGTGGCACCCTTTGTCCAGCACCACGGCGGTCGCCGATGGTGCTCGAGCTTTTAAAGGTGGTGGATCAGAGTGTGACTGACAGTTGTTTTGATCTTCTTTGCCTTTTGACCCAAGCACACGCACACACTCAGGTTTCGTCACCCGCAAGTATGTGAGAAACAGAGACAATGTGCGAGAGAGAAGCGAAACCAAAAGAGAAATGTTCATGGATTCCCTTTTGTGCCTGGGTTTGAGACTGGTCAGCGTACAGTTTTTTTTTTTTTTTTTTTTCCCACCCAGTAGACAGGTTTTGGTATACAGGTTGAGGGTACGAATGCTCAGACTTCCGTGGTGGTCCGTGAGCGCGATCGTCAATGGAATTGTGGACGCACCATGGCTGTGCTCCAGTCAAGAAAAGCAGAGGTGTGATGTCCACGACGGGTTCTTTTGCCTTTGCTCTGCAAGGTTCAGAGGCATTAGTCTTCTGTGATTTCGTCCTCTACATACTCTGATAGTAGAAATTCAAATGAAGAAACTGACCAAAATTTGGGATAATACGACACCTCAAAAGCAACACCAAAAAAAAAAAATCAAACCTCATTCTGCCATTAAGCATGACGCCAGATGTTTGAACGTGTTTTCTTTGACCCGCTAACGCTAGCGGCTAGATCTCGCAAGCTCAATTATATGACCTCTCGTGTAGCAATTAACTTGATTTTTAAATTCTTAACCTGCTCCAACTTTTATGATGTCACATCAAACAGTCAACACGAAATTGTTGATTAGCCTCATCGTCGTAGGCACAAGCATACACACCAGCGAGACTTTCAGGGTCGATCCCCAGCTGCTTTCAACACGAATGGGAGCGAAAAGAGTGCAGGTCCTTTTGGGAGCACCTGGGCTTTTTTTTTTTTTTCTAATGATTATTGCCGTTGTTATGATGGTTTTCAATTACAATTCATCGTGGCCTCGCCGCCTCATTTTGATAAAACAATGCCAAACGTCGGGAGCTCTTGTTGCCTGCCTCGGGACCCAGAAAGAGGTTAACAGCAGAGTCGTGCCCCGAGAGAGCGACGGCGTCCTAATGATGTCCAACAGCTTAATTGAATATTGGCGTTCTGCGCACGAGGGCTAAATTGCTTCTGTCTGCATCACCTCCGCTGCAGGCTGATTGTTAACCCATTTCCAACGTTTTGATTCCCCGGGGGATCATTAAATGTGCCTGTTACCACGGTTACCAGCCTTTGTGCTTGCGATGCTTTTTGTGTGTCGGAGCCAAATACTACTATTTCGGTTTTAGAAGCCCTTCCTTTATTTGTCTGTTACTTTGACTTTTTTGGAGGGAGGAAGGGGGGGGGGGGTAATTTTAAATCACACTGTGCCTACAGACGCTTCTGCTTTGTTTCCACGGCAACAAGCTCCAGATGGCATGTGTCAATAAGACATGGCACAGCTCTAAAAATTCTCACTCTTTGACATATAATTATGAACAGTCTTTTCATTTTTTTTATGAAATTCTCACACACACACACACACACACACACACACACACACACACACACACACGCCGACCGCAGCGGATATATGAAACAGGCTGTGTCCATGCTGCTCGAGGAGCCATCTCCCCCTTTAACTGACTGTGATGTCATTAATCTTGGTGTGGGGGTTTCACAAACGCACTTGCAGGGAAGATACATTTCACATGCGGACGTCTGACAACGGGGCCATTGTGGCGGCGGCTGCGGCACCCTGCTCTGCATTCAGTCAGGACCTTTGGCTCAGCCCCGGATCCACGGCTCATGTCAGGGTTTTATGTTTCATCTCCCACATGAATGCCTTTATACAGCACCGAGCACGCGCAAGACCAAAATCATTCTCCTTGTGTGTGTTTTTTCTTCTTTTTTTTTTCATAATAGGGAGTGCAAAAACATGCCTTTCGCCATTTTTCAAAGTTTGCCCTTGTTGCTATTACTCAGACTAATGTTCCGCTGGTGTCTGGTGTGTGTAGCCAAGCGAGCACGCCAGCTTAGCTCTGATTCACGGCTTTCCAAGATTCTTCCCGCCGCAGCAGCGGCCGCCCTATTTCCCCTCACAGAAGCGCTTAGTCCTCCCAGTAATCCATTAGACTTCCATTAGCTCTGATTTGTGTGATTAGTTCTAATTAATCAGTGGAGTCTGTGGCCTCCGCTCCCCTTGCTCCTCGCGTTTAATTTTTAACCTCGTTGCTCGGCTCTCCACCGAGCGAGCCACTGGAAGCGTGGGCTTCCCAGCTGCCTTTTGTCTCGCAGCGCACGCACGCTTCTTCCTTGCCAGAGCTGTGACACACTCCTTTCTTAACCACCTCGAAGACGTCTAAATAATTTAGGACGTTCTTTTGAATTTCGGAGCTGCATCGCGATACCGCTGTCACGTTTTATAATCTTTTCGAGTTTGTCTGCTTGGACCCTCCCAGTGCTGCAGTAATTATTGATCATGCGACCCATCCTTCTTTGTCACTGAACTTATTGATGCTGTCGAAGCCCTCGTTTCCCCTTGTGCTTAAGCTATGTATCAGGGCTGCAGCTATTAAATCAGTGGTTCTTAACCTTGTTAGCGGTACGGAACCCAACCAGTTCATATGCACATTCACCGAAACCTTCATAAGTGAAAAATAAAAATATGATTTTTAAATTTTTTTTTTTTTTTTTTTTTACAAATTCAAGACATTAAAAAACACATTTATGAAAAACAGAAAAAAGTAAACACAATTAGTATAATGGATACGTTTTTTACACTTATGTATGCCTGGTTTGTTAAAAAGTGATAAGTAGGAACGGCCACTGTGTCTGGCTGTTAGCATCAAAGTGTGCAGAGCCATTTAGCTCTTAAGCTCGCGACCCTCATGAGGAGAAGCAGCTCAGATAATGGATGGATGAACTTCAGCACTGCTAGCGCGGCCAGCGCTTAACACAGGCAGCAGGCGCCGTACAATACAATGTCAACGTAATTAAGTCTTTTTCGTAGCACCCTTAATTGGCAATTGAAAATTATTTCAGGGCAACGTTGAGTTGTTGTCATTGGTAGCACTGGTTTGTGGTGGCAATAAATGCTCCAAGCACAATCTGGAGGATGTGTCAAGTCAGCCATTACGCCGCCGGGAAGAACTTCAAAATTGAAACATACCAAGGCATTCATATCCATGTATTATTTAGTCAGGAGTAAAGTTTATTTTGAAGTTGGCCAACTTACCGCCTTGGCGGCGTGATGCCTAGCAAGAACAATTCTTGCTGCGGTGAGCTTGACTTCTTCTTGACAGTGTACACATTAATTAGAGGGTACTTGAGGCAGGAAAAAAATACCTCAGGTACACGAATCGCTGGTGGACCCGTTTCAGCCCGACTAAACACAGCGGCGTTTTTAAGTGGCTGTCCCAGACAAGTCAAAGAATAGTAGAGTCCAAATCATGACATCCTCAGCAAATATCCACTTCTGGTTTGTTGCTTTGATGCAGTTTTTTCCCCACCCGTAGTATTGCATGATGATCATCTATCTTCCTTAGCCTTCTTGTCAGCCCTCTCCTGCCATTCCCACTATTGTGATAAATGAAGGCTCAATTTATCAAGCCCCATCTACTCAGTGTTTCTCTGTCCTCCCGCAACGTTCGTCGAACCGCTGCACACGTTGGATGAGTTCACCATTTTCCATCCATCCCGCATTCTCACTCAGCCACACGGAGGCTCTCTTTGTGTCTGCCAGGGAAGACACAGCTTGTCACCCCGGAGCTCGCACACTCTGATCCAAGCCGCCGGAGGTGGCCCGGCTGCTGTCAATCAATCCGAAAGCGGGTTGCTGAGGGCCTGGTGAGGATGTGATGTTGACGCTTGACAAGCGCTCCCGACTGTTTAGATATTCCCTCTTTTATTTTGGGAACGTGCCCTTGAATTGTCAGCGCCTTGTGGGATGGAAGCGCGCTCCCTATTCAGTCTGCCCGAAACATCATCAACATTAATTTGCTTCTTATCGTGTCTCTGACGCATTTCCACGTATTTGCCGGCATGTAACGATGAATCGACAATGACTCCGGTGTTTGCTGTCGTGATATTGATGCCGACGCTCTCCGTGCGCCTCTTTGCAGGTCTCCGTGGTTCAACGGCTGGGGCTTCAATCTGCCGCGGGGTCAGTCTCTGCTGGATAAATGGAACCTCGTTCCAGAAGGCATCGACATCCTGATGACCCACGGCCCTCCGCTGGGTGAGTCCAATTAACCAATCAGAGCCCCCCCCCCACACACACACACACACACACACAAAACACCGTATGTAATGGGTTTGTACCTCATTGCGTGGATGTAAAGCGAAGGCGCCGCAGCTGGGGAAACAGTAGCAGAGCAGTGAACCCTGAACACACTTCATGATTCAATATTTGTGTTGACTTTATGAAAGGAACAAACATGCATTGTTGATTTTATCACCGCAGACTGATTGTGTTTTCTCTCTGGGTGTTTAGCCCCCGCCCCCCATCCTTTTTTTTTTTTTTTTCTTGTGTTCTCCATCTGGTTTTATTGAGTGATTTCCTCCCCCCTCGCCTATGGAGAGGCTGCGGCAGCCGCCGCCTCTGGGGTTGATTGCGTGGAAACTCCATTTTGTACCACTGTGACAGATGCCACAAGCAAGCAACTGGGTCCGATTTTGGGCGAGGCTCACTAACGAAATAGAAACATCCATGCTCTAAATCATTTAATGGCATACAGAAGTCATTAAAATGGGGTTTGAATAACCGCAGAAAGAAAACAAGATGAACACCAAAAACATAAATTGAAATGACATGGGTGGGATGGGGGGGGGGGGTTCCTCACTCGACGATGGTACGAACATGCAAATTCCCAAAGTTGATCCCCGATCAACTAGTTTTGCGCATCAGGGTAAGAAAACTGCCGTCTTTGGTCTTTCTCAGTTGATTGTTTTCTATTCATGGCCTGCAAGTGTTTTTCATAAAAGCGTTTACTGTCATGATGACTTTACTCCTGCATTAGCGTTGACTCATGATAGCCTGGGATGCGTTTCAATTTGCGGACAAATTTTGATTATGTCGTCATCATAGGAATGGAACCTCAGCCAGCATAAACTAAGGGCACCCTGTACATGACACAAAATGGAAGGCAACGTTCGTGCGCTCCATTTTAGCTCAAAAATCAGTTTTGTGACTTCTCAGTTATTTTTGTGCTTATCCTTATTGCACTCGTGTTTTTTTTTTTTTCAAACATCATCAACACAAAAAAAAAAACTTGCCATGCCATATCAGAAAGTTGCAAAAATTACTTTATTGAAAACATGTATGCACGGATGGCAGCTTGCGCAATCACCAACATAAAATTATCACTTGTAAGGAAAACGGCAACGTTTTCCCGACAGACTTGCGTCCGGCAGTGCCTTCTTCATAGCTTTAAAAGCAAGTTTCTCAACAACATCAAAATCGTTCCTCCTCGTATGCTTTGGCCGTGCCCTTTTTATATTCTTCTCATTTGGCCAAATCATTTAATTTCAGACAAAATCAGGACCTTCATATATGAATAACCAATTAATCCAAATTGGCGCGTGTATGCAGGTTTCCGAGACTGGGTTCCGAAGGAGCTGCAGAGGGTTGGCTGTGTGGAGCTGCTCAACACGGTGCAGAAAAGGGTGCGACCCAAACTCCACGCCTTTGGAGGCATACATGAAGGTAGGCTGCTGCCGGTTTAGCTTCTCGCATAACATGCGGCAACTCCCGGACGCTGTTGCATAAAGTCGTAGCATGAAGAAAGGTGCGCCGTAGCGAGGCATGAAACGGTTGTGCGCTGGGACAGATTTAACCCTTTCATGCACCCTGTAACCCAGATTACATGACAAGATGTCCACTGAAGTAGCTGCTGTCCCTGAGAGGGTTCATATTGATTCCGGAAATTCCATGAGGACATTTGACATTGGCTGTGTTTTCGTTTTCCAGGCTACGGCATCATGACGGACGGTTACACAACGTTCATCAACGCGTCCACTTGCACCGTCAGCTTCCAGCCCACCAACCCTCCCATCGTGTTCGACCTGCCCAACCCTTCCAGCTCCTGAGACCTCAGCAAAGTGGGGGGGGGGCATTTGGCGGGGTATTTGGAAATAACAGTTTATTTGTTTGGTTTTTTTACTACAAATATTTCAATATAAAAAAAAAAAAGGAAAGAATGTGTCTTTGCAAACTGTTGTTCCTCTCCAAGATGTTGAGAATGTTTGGAGATGTATTGGGATTGACTTAAAGGAGAATATCGGTGTCCTTTTTTTTTTTTTTGGTGATTGTATTTGCCACCCACAATCAACTTGTTTGGCAGATTTCACATCAAGACTTTACCTTCCATTATTATTTTCATCAATTATAATCCAATTATAATTTTTTTTTTTTTTTTTAATTGTCCCAATGTCATCCTGCAGACTTAAGGTTTCATCTCAGAGCTGCAACTTGTTGCTTTTTAATCCCGGGGAGAAAAATCCATTTTGGTAAGGAGGACACCGCTATTCTCCTTTGCTGGGGGCTTTTGTGATTAAACAATCTTGCTCTTGATAAATATTGGTCAGATCTTGTAAGATAAACGATGCTTTGTGAATTTGTACAATTTCTTTGTTTGGTTTGCCTTGGCCAGACAACGGATGCCATCTATGTTTAACTGTTGTATCCTCTATTTTGTGTTTAGTTTTTTTATTTTTCTTCCGTTTTTCTCGTCAGTTGCGCTTTTCTTATTGGCTGACAGGGACGCTGCCTTAAACTAGCTTTAATGTTCTCAGCTAGAGCTCCACTCTTTCTCTCTGTGAGATCAGAGAGAAGAAAAAAAAAAGAAGAAAAAAAAGTCCTTATTTATTGTCCAACTCTCCCGCTAGTCAACACCGAACGCACGCAGGGACCGAAAGCAATTGAATTACAACCCAAACGTTTACTTTATATTCCATCCTGTTCAATGACTCCTGTTCTAATTCGGAAAGTTTATGTATTAAAAAAAAAAAAAAGTATTATATATATTCATGTTGTAAAATTTCTGTACTAAAAGTTGTGTTTAACGAGGGGAAAAAACATTTTCTTAGTTGGTCTTCTTTGATAGTTCCCCCCCCATCTTGTTCATTTTAGATGAGAGGAAAAGTACAAGTTTCAAAATCGCAATCCATCAGGTGCTTTTTATCCTCGGCAACGCGCCTGCCTAAACATGCTTAAGTTGTCCTTTCAAGTGTCATCTTTTTTTTTTTTGCGTGTGTTTTATTGTTTTGTTTTCTTTCTATTTTTGCACTGTGTGTAAATGCAATCTTGCTAGCACAAAAAAAGAAAAATGTTGCCAATCGTAGTTTCGACTTTGCTGCTGTAAATGCTCTCTTCGTGCTCTCTTCCCCTCTCGCTCTCTCTGATTGTATGGAAATGTTAGTCCTCTCTTTTCGGTTCATTGTGATATATTTAGCTGCCTTTATATGCAAATAAAATTGCAGATTTTTACTTATGATACCGTCTGGACTTTATAATATATAATACAATGTATAATATAATACCGCCCTTTCTTTATAATGGCGTCCGCTGACGTGCTGTGCTGGCGTCATGTTGGTCTCGAAGAAGAGAGATTTCTAAATGCCATTCACGTTGTACTGTGAAGGGCGGGGCCGTACTTGGAAAAAAAGCACTTTGCGTTCAAAAGTTAGTTTTGCTCAATGCCAGCTTTCTGACCCGATTTAAATTATTCACGATATTATTAGCATTTAACAGGTGCTTTCGTCGTAGATTTGGTTTGAAATTTTGAGACATTTTTTCCTGGGGAAAAAAAAAAGACCTTTCTACACCTTATTTATGGAGGTTTCACTCGATGACACAATGGTGCTTGCAATGTTGCATTTCACGTTGCCTCTGGAGATATTCATTTTGGGGGCGGGGGGGGGGGGACAGCAACAACAACACAACCAGAGCAGAGCAATAAGGCCTAGATAAAAATCCTCAGAGCTCATTTCTCACATGATTTCATCAGGTTTCCTTCCTTCCCACCTCTCGCCAACATATCTCGTGGAGTCCAAAAATAAAACAGGCTTGACTTGTAAGGCGCCTCTGCCAGCCTTTTTTCCCACCAACCACCCCCCCCCTCTCGTCACCACAACATCAAAGCAGCCCGACCAATTAGCTGTTCCCCGAAACAAGAGCGGCAAAGCATGGCCCCGCACCCACCAGACCCCCCCGCCCTCCTTCCTCCCCTCACACATTACCATAATCCAGTCTAATCATATTAACACGGGCCGCAGATGAGCAAGGGGGTGGGAGACATGACTGCATACAGGCACCTCTCGTCTGCATCGAGAGGCTGTCTCAGTAGGCTTGGGGATGTAATAAATACTCGCGTGCGTGCCGTGATCCTTTCGCGGAACGCAGCACTCTTCTCGGCCTGTCAACGCTATGCTGTCGCGTCTGCTTGCGCAGATTAGCGCGAGTGTGAAAATAACGGTGTTGGGAACTCTCTCTTTAAGTAGCTTGAGAATCATTGGGAAGGTCGACTCACTGGGTTCGAGTAAGGAGAACAGGGGCCGGCATTGACAAGACTACAGACTGCAAAACTTGAGAACCTAGAATAATGACCGGTGGTAGCAGTGAGAACGGTTCTTGGCGGCACAGGTCGGCACATCTGCCGCACAGTTCTGAAATTTGAGGTTCGAATCTGTGGGTTTTGGGTCTTATGTGAATTTGCCGCTGTTATTTCAAAATTCAGAATGGCTCCATTGCAGACACATTTCCCGAAATAGGCAGCTCACAATACTCGGTTGCGTAATTTCTCATTTGATAGGTGGGCCGGCGCTCGTCCATATCAGGTCGTTTGGCTTTTTTCGCTGCATTCATATGACAACAAAATAAAATACTGACTTTTCATAAGCTTACATGCTCATTTGTACATCCTCATGACAAGTGTGTCTTCTCTAGCGATTTAAAACCATCTGCCCTAAAATAACCTCAAGTGGATGTTTTGGAAACACAATGACTTGAGTCATTGAAGGTCACTCCTGTTTGGTAATTAAGTCACGCACGCAATTTAAAGCAGGGGAAGAGAAAGCACAATTATTTTCTGTGCAGTCCTCACTACCATATTTTCTGGGGGGCTTCGTTGTCCAAGGCTTTGCGGCCAGCAGACCGAACAGAAATCATCAAGTTACTCCACAGACTTCCCGTTTGTTGCATCTGAAGAAGCCCACCACTATTTTGTAAACCTCACGCTTCAAGATTGAGCTCTGACTGGATCTGACCTGACAGTCGTTGGTCATCAAGCTAAACAATAGCGGGCATCGGGCGCATCCTTGAGGAGTGCCGGTTCTCAGGGAGACTGTGACGGAGTTGTTTTTGACTCACCCACGCTGCCGTCTGTTCATGAGGAAATCTAACAACCAGCCACAGAGGGGGACGCTAACACCTAAGAAGGATAGGTTGCTCACCAGTCGCGGGGGGATGATCATATTAAAAGCTGAGCTGAAGTCCACACACAGCATTCACTGTTCTTTCGCTCCAGATGAAGCAGGCTCATGCAGATGAGGGAGGAGATGGCTGACTCTGCGGAGCGGTCGGACCATTAAGCCAACTGAAAGGTATTAAAATGAATGCGAGGGTCTGGGTGACCTTTACTAGCTCCTCATCATGATATGAGTCTGTGCTACTGGGCATTATTGAGCCCGGTGATGGTGGGCTTTTTTTCTGAACTGGTATTATAGTAGCTGTCTTAAAACATACTGGATTAATGGCCCGGTCTTAAAAATGTGTTAAAAATGTCGATTAGTTACCCGGGTCAGATGACCTGCACGTTCCTTTCGCAGTCGCGCAGGAATTGTGACCTACTGCTTTTTGGATCCTATGGAGTCGCCCAAACGTCAGCTCCGTTTTATGGCTGAGGACCTTCTCATCAGAGCAGTGGGTGGACTTCCTTGCCTGAGTGTTGTTCGGTGCCCTCAAACCACGCAAAAGGATTGTTCGGTTTTTCTCAAAAATCTGTCTCCACTTTACAGGTTGGTAAACCACTTTGTAATTCATAATGGACTGGGTTCCTTACCACATCCACCTGATGTTTGTGACGTTGTGGAAGAAGCTCTGGACTTTTGGGTCATGGGCTAAGTCGACTGCTTGCATTGTGATTTTTCTCAAATAGAATCCACTTTGTCTGCATCTCATTTTAAACGTAGCATTCCTTGCCCTCAGCATGCTACACGCGTCGCTGTCCATCCGGGGACCTCCATACATGAATTGAAATATGCAGACAGACACGTGGCCCAGTCAGTGCATACAAAGCAGTCCTGCGGAGCTGACATACTCCCCTCAGGCCAGGCTCTCACCTGCTTCATTGTTGGTCTGTCTGTAATCAGCAGGGCTCGACTCTGTGTGCTGCTATTGGCATCGCACGGATGTGATCTGACGAGCCAAAAGAAGGAAGTCAAGGGCACAATGAACTCTTTTGCTTTGGCCCACATCAGTTCAGTGTCTTTAGTGACTTCTGCAGGCATTTCACAGCTGCAAATTGCATCTGCAACTGTGGCTCTCCTTTCCCCATATACAAGGGTATTACAGTAGCTAAGTAATTAAGTATAAACATGTTTAAAAAGTATCCCAAAAAAAAAAAAAACGATACAGCAGTGGTGGCAGCTGGTTAACACGTCGGCCTCACAGTGGAGAGGGCATAGGGTGCGATTCTGCCTTCCTGTGTGGCGTTTGCATGTTCTCCCCGTCCGTGGGTTTTCCCCGGGTACTCCGGTTTCCTCCCACATTCCAAAAACATGCAGGGCAGGTTAATGGAACACTGGAAATTGTCCCTGGGTTTGATTAGGAGCGCAAATGGTTGTTGGTCTATGTGTGCCCCGCGATTGGCTGCCAACCAGTTCAGGGTGTACCTCGCCTACTTCCCGAAGACAGCTGGGATAGGCTCCAGCACGCCCACGACCCTCGTGAGGATAAAAGCGGGTCTGAAAACGGACGGAAGGCTACAGCAGTGGTGCCAATGATGAACCAGTATGACACGGGAGTAGTGTAGCAGCATTGACATGGCATTTTTCGACACTGACTGCCCTTGCGTTAGAGATGTCATGTCTCAATCACAAAGTGAGGATGTTCACGACTCAGCCAAAAAGCTGTCGGTATTAATTACATTTGGACACTGTTGGAATGCTGCGCCTGATGTTGAGTGTTTGTCAGGTTGGCCTTCACCTGCTGCTCATGAATACTGATCAACACACACCTCTTAGCGGGCACTGTGTGTGCGTGTGTGTGTGTGTGTGTGTGTGTGTGTGTGTGTGTGTGTGTGTGTGTGTGTGTGTGTGGGGGTGTGTTGCCAGGTCACCGCATGTAGCATTTAATTGGACTCCATCGCACAGCACTTGGAGAGCGTCGCTGTAATCTGGAGATCCTTTGGCCCGGTATGGAATAATTGCGCCAAAGACAAGCGCGCGGCGTCGTTCTTCCCTGCGCTACATCCTTCCTGTGTGATCCCGTCGAATATCAATTTGTTTCATTGTTCTGTATCCATTACGTGGCACGCAAAAGAAATTAACGTTGTCAAATGGAATGCCTGCCCGCACACATAAATGGGGATTTACAGCGCACGTAAAGACATGTGCAAATCAGTCAGGCGTTCGGGATTAATGTAGTCACTTGCCAGCGTAAAAGCTAATTTAATTAAATGGAAAGTTCACCGGCTAACGATGCGGCTTTGCTAATTATTTTTCCGAATTCATTATTCCCGCCGCCGAATGAGTTGACGCCGTCACCTCTCGTCGCGTTACGACTTCTAAAGGAGCGTTGATTGTACTTGGAGTGAGTTGACCCCTCGCCCCTCCAACAATATGTGATTATCACGAGTGGATCGGTTGAATTGTGGCGAAGGAGGAGTACTTCCCTCGGCCCTTCACGGCGCCGCCGACAAAGTCCCCGCTTTGACGTTGACTTCCTTCCTCTCTATTTGCTCGCCATTTAGAAAGTAGACGTAGTTGCAATCAATGGGCCCCGCTCGCTTATGATTCACTCATTTGGAACGTTGTTTTACATGACAGTTTCAATTCCAAAGTAAAATGAGTCTGTTTCTGTTTGGTTTTCCTCTGTCTTTAATTAACTTCGATGTCATGTTGGAATAGAAGAAAAGGGGTGAAAGGGTAAATGCATTTCGCCCTTCAACAATACTTGCCTGTTGAAGTCCGCGGTGGTCAACTATTTTTTTTTTTAATTAATCTGAGATGTGAATAAATTTTCCAGATGATTTTATTTGATTTTTTTCAAAATCCGTCCCAGTTTTTTTTCTCTCACACGTCAAGTTTTCAAAGCAATCATCAGAGAATGCTAAAAGTGTTCCTTAAAAATGGCCTGTATAAGGTTTTATGATGGTGACAGTTTGATCCCGGAACAAATTATTCTCACAAAAGCAGTCTCGGTCTTTTATTCTCGCCGCCTCGTGTCGTAAACATGTGAACGTTGGAGATATTTTGATGTTCCCGTGAGATTC